TATATATATATATATATATATATATATACTAATAATCATGTATTGTATTGTGTATATTTTTCTAATTATAATTGAGCTTTTTCCTTTTTTTTTCACATGTATTAGAGTTTATTTTCTTATCTATTATTATTTGTAGTATAACAATTTTTATATAATCCGTTAGTTAAAAATTTGTAGATATAATATCTATTAATTCCATGGCAATTTGTAACTGAATAGTAATATGAAAAACATATGCACTATCAAAATATTCTGGCAGTTGACATTCCAATGTGCTTAGTGCTATCTATGCTCATGGATTCCTTGAAAGGAGTATGCATTATTTATTTATTCGAGTCCTCCTCTACAGTGAAGAAACAAATATTTTAGTATTGTTTTATGTTAATTTTTATTCATTTTAAGTATTAATTGATCACTATTTGATAACACAAACATTTTATTTTTATTATAATAGTTCTGAATGAAAATAATGTGTTTTTTATTATTAAAATATATTAAAAGTTTTAGAACTAACGATGTTAAGTTCAACACTACAATGTTGTTCTGGCGACTTGATGCAATAGGTCACATGATACAAAAAAATGGTCTGATATATGTATGCATGAATTAGTCAAATGAATATATATGGAGTTGACTTATGTATAAAATGATTTGAATTGAGAAAGAATAAGTGAATATACATAATGTTATATATTATCTTAATACTTGAAATAATATTGTGATTAATTATGGTTACGATATTAACTTTTATTAATTATACTTGTTTTAATGATAGTCTAAATCACACAAATTAAAATTTAAAACGATGAGAACTCCAAAGAGATCTTTGCATGTATAATTAAAGATTTTTGTGTATTAAATTACGAATTATGTATAATTTATTATTATTCATATAGAGTTCTTCACTCTGAGAATGTATGTTAATATAATAGTTTTTTTATATCGATAATGTATAATTATATGAATAATATATGTATAATTTATATTATATATTATGACCAATATTGTTTGAAATTAGTTTTTCTTTTTATATTGTGTTACTGTTATTGTACTTCATACAAGTAAAATGATATTATAAATATTGATGAGACTTCTAAATATCAAAAAAAATGTTATCTATTTTATTCCTTTATATGTATTTTAGAAATTTAAATTTTTTATATAAAAAAGTACACAAGCACACACACTAACATTAGCCTTTTTGTCTAATTTGAAGATAATTATTTGGATAAATTTTAATTATTAATTAAACTCATTAATTATATAATCCTTCTTTATTTATACTCTGTTTACGATTAATTATCTAATCCTTCTTCGTTTAAGTTTTGAATTTCTTTATGTTATCATAATATATTGTAGGTGATAAGTTCACTGTGTAAAACAATGGCATAATAAAACATGTTTTTAGATTAAGTGGATACAATATCCTTTGATTTATATCATCCAGTTTTATTTTCACTTATTTTTCTATTTTCTAAAATCTTTTATATTTTTTTATCACTACTGGTAATATATTGTTATATTTTTTAGCATTGATTAGATTAACCTAAAATTGTTAATAACTTGCCATAATTAAAAACGTAACACGTCACTATTAAGTAATGACATTAATAACACAACACATCAATATAAATAACGGTCTACCTAGACATACGCATGTTATGTATTTAGTTATTGACTGTACATGCAATAAAGAAGATTATTTTAATATAATTAAAATCCACAATAAATAAATATTTTAAGTATATAATCACACCATTTTTAAAACTAATAATTATTTTAACATAGCAAATGGGATCGTTTTTGTTTGAAATGAATTTGCTCCTCTCGTTGGTCTACTCGTTTACGTGTACCGTTTACGAATATTAAAAGTTATAAACTGAAGTTAATATTTTAAAATGTTTCAAATAGAAAAAAAAAAATCAAGGGTTAAATATATTAGGACCAAATTGAACACAATAGGAAAATAATTTATTTTGGTCTTTAAAATTATTCTATTATATTTAATAGTAAAGGTAATATTTTAAAATGTTACAAATAGAAAAAAAAATCAAGAGCTGAATATATTAGGAACAAATGGAACACACATTAGGGAAATGATTTATTTTAGTATTTAAAATTATTCTATTATATTTAATAGTCTCATATTATTTTAAAAAAAAGTCAGATTAAATATTTTTATTTTTTTTACTATTTAAAACATATATAAAATCGTGATAAAGTTTAAAACTAAATAATATCTTACATATATAATAATTAGTTTTAATAGTGTCATTTGAGAGACGACATAAATATTTTACGGGTGCCAATCATAAATGATACGTAAACTTATAAATATAGATATGACTTCAATCTTTCTTTCATGATACGTAAATTTAAACTGGTCACACCACCTTTGATCTCAATTGAAGAATGGAATAGAATATTATAAAAGAAAAACTTACGTATCTTTTATTTTCTTATTATATTTAAAATTTGTTTAATAATATGCAATACATTAAATAAGATATATAACAATGACATTGAACTTTAAATTAGAGATAACATCGTGAATTAAGTTGTATGAACTGACTCATCTTTCTAGTTCAGATAAGTCTGTGTTGCGTAACTTATCTGGTCAAAGTACGTAAGACCAATTTCTCTAATTCCGTTACTTATATATATTTTTTAAAAATCTTTTTGGTATTTATAATGGTTTGTCTTTTGTTAGGTGTAGGTTTTTTTGCGATATAAATATTATTAACGCTAAACTTTGCGGATTGGGTAGCAAACTACAGACAGCATATCACATATCGGTCCTGATTAAGCTTTAATTTGTTTTATTAGTTATTACATATATAAAATATTTTAAAATCAATACAATAACATTTTACAACACTATAAAATCTTATTAAACACGTTGTTTTATTCATTTATTTATCAAGTGCTTTAAATTAAATAAAAAATGTATGACTTTACTTTATGGGATTGAATTTAAAGTGGTCGGTGCATGGGAACGTGGGAATGCTTATATATTTAACGGAGCCACATTTTTAATATTTCGAATCAATGTTAAATTGAAAATATATAAAACTAAGAATTAAATAAAATTGTAAAGCGAAGTCTTTGAAACAAGTTTTCTTGTTGTTTTTTTAAAATTAAAAACAAAATCAGAGTTATTTAAAATTCTCAAGACAAAGAAGATAATTAAACTATTAAATTACAAGAAAGGAGAGAGAAATTAAAAAAAAAATATATAAACTAGGGATAAAGTGCAACATAAATTCTCACTCACTCGTAACCCGAAGCAACAGTGAATCCAAACAGAGCAGCGTGATTCTAACGCGTGGAATGATGGAAATTGAATTCATCATCGTGAGTACTATCTTCAGTTTTCTACAGCTCAGCATAACACAAAGCAATCTCTCTATAAATACCCCTTCTGCGGTCCCTCTTCTATCCATTCACTCTCACTCTTTCGTTACCTTCGTTTCATTCATTTCCCGTAACACCCTTCCTCTCTTGAATTCCAAATCTCCCTTCTTCTTCTCCACCAACCATTTCCCCCTTTTTTTCGCTTCCCTCCTCTTCCAACCACTCCAACAAATACCGATTTCGCTTCTCTCTCTCTCTTTCTCTCTTTCTTCCTCTTCATTCTCTTCGAAATTAAGCTTAGATAGGGTTAGGTTTTCGGTGAAAATATGAGGTTGAGGGAGAACGACGACGGTGGTGAGAAAGAGGAAGTGGTGGAGAATGATGTCACCCTGGCCCAAAATCAATGGTGTCCGGTGGTCAATGCGGGGTTTTCGTCGCCCAAGAGACTGGTTGTGGTTGGTTATGCTCTTACTACTAAAAAGATTAAGAGCTTTTTACAGCCTAAGCTTGAAGGTTTAGCTAGGTAAACAGAAAGCCATAACGGTTAATTCATTCATCATCGTGTCTTGTTGCGATTTAATTGATTGCGTTTAAAGAAAAACGAATTATTAACTGGAATAAATCGTTTCTTCGTCGGATAACTGCCTTTATGTGAATTCAAACCAGAGAATTCTTCGTGAAAGGTTATTTTCAATTTTCAATTAAATGAGGTTCTTCCCACGCGCGTCGTTTTCGTTAGGCTGGCGAGAAAGCGAACCGAAAATATGTGATCCTTGGAGAATCTGTTGCAAATGGGAAGATATTTTACCAATTTTGTTGTTTTTACGGAAACTACATCAATCGTTGTTCTTTCTGAAAAACTTGTCTGAGAGCCTCCTCTCAAATTCTGAATACATGGATCGTACTTGTACCTTTTTTGTTTTCTTGTGTCAATCCCGTTTTGTGGTTCAATAATGTTGTCCTTTTACCTTCAAAACATGACCGTGTTGTGGTACTCGGTTTGTTACTGATTTCAATTTGTACGGACTTTCGTGCAGGAACAAGGGAATACTATTCGTGGCTATTGACCATAATAGGCCCCTTTCAGATCAAGGTCCTTTTGATATTGTCTTGCATAAGGTTATGATTTCCTCCTGTGAATTTCCTCGTTATCTTTCTCAAATTATTTCTGTACTGCTTGTTATCCACTGGTAACTCATAAAAGATTCAATGTATTTATGTCAATGCTCAAATGATACCTGTTCGGTTTATCTGTGGCTGATTTTTCCATTTTGTTTCTTGGAAAATGCAGTTATCAGGGAAAGAGTGGCGCCAGGTTCTTGAGGTTTGTCCCCACCCACCAGCCACCCCCTTTTTAGCGCGTGTTTCTGCTCTTTTCTGTTGTGCTAATTAATCCAATCATAATAGTTATGGTTGCTTCTTGTGTTGTTTCTTTATACATTTGATGCTAAGTGGGATGTAAAAAGAAAACGATGAAAGGCTGGTCAACGACTAGCTTTTTTAACTTGCTATCTGGCATAATTTGCAGAGTGATTCTTCCTATCTCTCGTTATGAATCATGAACCAGTAGTTGAGGTGGAGGCCTCAAGGTTCCTGCAAGTGAGGGTGTCGCTACTTTCATGGACATCTAACTGTTTTTGTCAGGTTTTACATAGCAAATAAATTTCAACAGATTTTTCCTTTTTGAATCCCATTAACTAGGTTTCATTTTTTCTGGATGCTCTAAGATGGACTTCCAGTTGGTTAAAAGAGAGAAAGTAAATTATTAGGTCCGTTCTTAATTTCTTATATTGCAATTATCAGCGCTGCTGTGTTAGTGTTTTCTATGCTTCTAAACGGGAATTAGGAGTCATAATGACCTAAATTTGAAGGTTAACGGCTCTAAGATTTCTGATCAGGGGACCTAAATTGTGCTGTCTGTCTCATTAACAGTAATTGCAGCCCGGCCTATGATAATACTTGTTGGTTGTACTGTACATAAGCGTGTGTCTGACAATGTCTGCCGTAAGCTCCAAAATATTGTCCGCGAGTCTACAAGTAATTGTACGAATTTATAGGAAGTCTTGAATCTGATTCAAAAAAACTGCAATCTTATACTTTATACTGTAATAATAGCTGCTCTTCATATTTTAAGATGGAACTTTCAGATAATACCTAAAATATTGGAAAGTCCTATATAACCGACTGATAAATGAAAGAGTTTTGCATTTTCTTTACAAATTTACTGATTAGTCGCATTTAGATATCATATCATTTTACTCAAGCCCGACTTTCTGGGTGTTATGTTTTCTATTTTGGTACAATATCATCAATGTTGAAAATTCCACCCATAGTTTTTTGAGTATTTGTGAAACTGACTTAATGGTACTTTCCTCCTGTAATCTTTTATATGATGAGATGTCAAATAAACCCAGTCTCTGCTTTTATTTCCTTGAACACAAATATATTGTATGAGCTGTTGCATTCCTACAATATTCATACTTCTTACGATGTCTTCTATATTTAATGTATAATTTTTAAATTTTTATAATAAAATTATATGATGGAGTTATTGTTCATGCTTTAAAAGTATAACATTTTTCGTTCTGAGAGGAGGTATTTCTTTATGCTTTGGACATGTGTGAAGTGTAGGTGTTCAACCTCACAGAAATAAAGTATCTCCAGAAATGAAAGAGAACAAAATAATAGTCTGGTAGTGTCTTTAAGGAAAGATGTGAATGCAAGTTCTTTTTATATAGCCTGGGTAAATGGTTGTTGTAGAAATTGAGGCAGATTATCGTGTAGTCTTCTACCTAATTTGTTGAATTCGCTATTTCTTGATTGTCGTTAAGCTTACACATTTCTATTAATGAGACTTGAATGAAGATTCCCTATATGTTCTCTGAATTGAATAGTCTTGGACGTTGCATTCCAGAATTTGTTGTAGTGTATTCTGAAGGGAACATTAGCGTTCCTTGTTTATTGTGAGGAGAAACTGTGAACTGAACTAAGGTTTCTTTTGGATGAACACATATTCTTAAGGAGAAAAATAATGTTGAACTGCTGTTTGGCTATTTAATTCACAGCCAATTCTACGTACTTATTTTTACAAAATGTATAGAACTAGTGTCCTCCAGATGTTTTCTATTCTACGTAAATGTTTTTCTTAATTTTTATACTTCTGGATATATTTCAGGATTATAGGCAGTCACATCCTGAGGTTACAGTTCTGGACCCTCCAGATGCCATACAACACTTACGCAACCGTCAGTATATGCTTCAGGCTGTAGCAGATATGAACCTTTGTGATTCCTATGGTATTTTTTTTTTGTCTCCACCTTGATTATGAATTGTGGCTCTATGGAATTACTATTCAGTGATGCTGTATGTTCAGCCATGTTGAGTTATTAGTAGGTATTGAGTTTTCCAATATCATCATGCAGGCATCGTGGGTGTTCCTCGGCAATTAGTTATCAAGAGAGAGGCATGCGCTATTCCAGAGTTGGTCAACCAAGCTGGCTTGACTTTACCCCTTGGTATGTATATGTTGGTTTTTCAACTACTTTTAGATGCTGCAGTTATGCGATTTCTCAGAGCATGGACGCATGGACATTTATTGTTACGAGGGTTGTGTTTTTGAGGCAAAGTCATTAGAACTTATGAAAATAGGCATGGTAATCCCATCTATTTTTGTGTCTGATCCTAGTACTTAATTTTGTATTCCTTAATTTGAACTTTCTTTCTTATGTTTGCAACTTCAAAATCATTTTAGTTGCAAAGCCACTAGTTGCCGATGGAAGTGCAAAGTCACATGAATTATCCCTTGCTTATGAGAAGTTTTCCCTTCAAAAACTTGAACCTCCTCTTGTTCTTCAGGAATTTGTCAATCATGGTAAGCAATTTTATATATTGTATCTATTTTTTACCCTTAAATGTTCAATTACAAATCATTATGATAAAGTTAACGAGAAATGCCACTTCATTGTTTGTGTAGGGGGTGTTCTCTTCAAGGTTTATATAGTTGGTGATGCTATAAAGGTAGTAAGGCGGTTTTCATTACCTGATGTTAGCAAGTGGGAACTCTCCAAAGATGCTGGGATATATAATTTTCCAAGGGTTTCGTGTGCTGCAGCTTCGGCAGATGATGCAGATCTGGATCCTACTGTCGCTGGTAATTATCATGTCTTGTATAAAAACTTTCTATAGAACTTTACTTCTTAAAAACAAACAGGCCTTCACAATTCTCCCTCCCCTGTAAGGGAAAAAACCAGGCCTTGTCTTATTCATTCGCAAACGTAAGAGAAACCACTTCCTGGTTGGTTCTCATCTGTTGATAATGTCCCTTCTTTAAAAACATTTTTGGTTTGGTGTGATAATTCTCTATAATTTTATGGTTATCTATTTCAAACAAAATTCTATTTCATAATCTGTTTGACTATAATAAAACTTTTGTCCGGCCTATGATATGGGTAGGGTGGCGATCCAAAGTCAATTAGAAATCTCAGCACATTTACATGTGCGTGGATGAAGGAAGTGTTTGTTTTACGGGTGTGGTCATCCAGAGCTAAAAAGATATATACGCTCGTGCATATTGAAAGTCTTAACGACTAAACTGTATTTTAGTCTTCTGATTTTGTCATTTTCTCTCCTTGCAGAGCTTCCTCCAAGGCCATTACTAGAGAAACTAGCTAAGGAACTTCGATGGCGATTGGTAATTTGCGCATTCTTTTATTTGAAGGTTTCTTGCCTATACAAGGACTACAATAAGGTTTTTTTGTCATTGTTCTTATTCTAGGGTCTTCGTCTATTCAACCTGGATATTATCCGTGAATATGGAACAAGAGATCACTTTTACGTCATCGACATAAATTACTTCCCTGGTAAGAGCATATATATACGTTCGATCTTACTGTTTAAATCATAACCCATTAACAGATATTATACCCAAATGAGATTAATTTCACCTAGTAATAGAAAAGGTGTTGAAAAGAAAAATGCTAAAAGAGGTCACGTACAATAATTTATTTTGATATTTCTTTTTATGTTCATTTTGAATCATTATTCCTTATCGTGTATCTGTACTATTTTCTTACGAAATAGCTAGTCTTAAACTACGTGAGAATACGTGCGTATCCTTTGAAATTATTCAGCGTTTAAATACTTGGTGTTGCAGGATATGGCAAAATGCCTGAGTATGAACACATATTTACTGATTTCCTGTTGAGCCTGGGGCAGGGGAAGTACAAGAAAAGATCAGGCTAAAATAAATCCTTTTAGCCCTTTGATTTATGTCCTCTCACAGCGTAAGCACGTTCGTCTATCGAGTCAGTTTGAAGCTCGGGCTTATCTGTAGGAAAGTATCTTAGAATATTAATAATTTTTGCAGTTTTGCTGTGCCATGGAAGTTCAGGGGAAAATAATTACGAAGAAATGTGTTTGGGAAGATGGACCTGTACAGAACAACTTCTGGTAAACTTGTCTTCCCTTCTAAAGTAAGGAATGTTATGGCTGATGACCGAAGGGATGAATTTGACGGGACCTCAGTGGGTATGACCATAAGTTGACGGATTTCAAATGTACTGACCGTTCTTTGCTGTATATATAGAAGGCCTAAAAATACTTTACAGTAGGGAATCTAGACCAAATTGTAGTTCAAGTACACATCTTTTTTTTATCTTCAAAATTAATGCATGTTGTTCTTTTTTTTTTTATTACAATCCAACAAACGAGCTCCTTCTTTTTCATGTCTACTTAACACCACCAGATGAAGTGTTCCTGCATTTCACATAAATGTTTACATTGGGATAATCAAGATGTGATTCGGTTAAACTTAATTTTAGATGTAATAATAAATAAATGTGTAATAATTTGTTTTTTGAACTTGAATTTATATTTAAACATTACCTTTATATCAATTTATTTTTCAAATTATTATTATTATTTGGTGGAATTTTCAGAAAATGGGGGTTCTCTTTCACTAATGTCATTTTCAATGAACTGTAAACAGATATGGGAGGTAGGGGGCTTCTCGTGAATTAATGTCTCAGATAAAATTATTTTCACCTTTAATAGTTTGACTTATCACCATGTTTATCAATAAATTTTATTAAAATATTTTTATTCAGTTTTCTCTTTACATTTTAAACTAAAACTTAATTTTTATCATACAAATTACAAAAATTCTAATTTAATTTTTAAGCTTCCATAACTTTTTAAATATTTATACTCCTTAAAAATATATTATGATTTTTATAAACCATTTATTTATATTATTTTATTTTAATGAATTAAGAATTAATATTTATATCAATTTCAATTTTATATAAATACACATGGCAACATGACAGGCAAGGTCCACCTACCACAACTGCACCCTATTTTTTGTTAAACTTAAATATTTCTCTCCACATTAGATAGTGCCGCAGTAGTTACTATAAGCAACATAAAATATGAATATAACTTATTCGAAAAACTTACATTATCCTCTTCTGATGATTTTAACTTCTTTTCCTTTTTGTTTCAATCTATGGTCTCTTCTATTTTTGAAATTTTTAGTTATTGATTGTTAATTTTTCATTATACTCTTCCAGTTAGTGTTAGTATTTATTATTTTTATCTTATATGAATATTTGAATTTCATCACAAAGGTATTGAAGTTTTAAATGATCCATTATTGAAAGATATTAAAAAAACACTAACAAAATAAATCAATACTTCATTGAGTTTTAAGTCGTATTATATAAAAAATATTATAACTTCTTCCAAATATATAAACAGTTCTAAAAAGAATTACACGTAAAATATCATTAACAATTGAATATTTGTTTCTACCATAGAAAAAATCTCTTTCTTCCTGCACCCCCATAACTTCATCCGGCACCCCATAGCCCAAAGTAAATATGACAGAAATGCCCTTAAGTTAAAAATAAGAAAATATTTTTCCCTTGACGTAGCCGCCACAGTGATCTCTGCACCTCCATACAAGTTTCTCCACCTCCATATCTCCATTTCCGCCGCACCACCGCACCTCCATAAATACTCCATTGCAAAGTTCTGCATCTCGCAAGGTTCTGCACCTCGGTAGCTTGAAGACCCAGTTGATTCGTCCGTGCATCCCTGAGAGTGAGAGGTAAGTACAGTTACTGTATTTGGCATTAGTGATTGTTGGCTGGGGTGTGTTTTCGTCCAAAATCATGTCCTCTTATGCTATTCTTATTAGGATTACCGGATTGTACAGTCCGGCACATCATTACGGATCCCGAAGATTACTGGAAATCCGACACGTACAAATACATCTTGCAGACGTACTGCAGCCGGCCACCACCGCACACAAACCTGCTTACGAAATAGTAACCATGGAACTAACACCATCACCTGTGTGCAAGATGAACTTCCATCCATAAATGCTACTGTTCAAAATCCTAAATTATTTTTATTATATATCTTAGGAACAGGAGTAATTTTGGAATTTTCAAAAGTATAGGAATGCGGGAAGAAATTATAGGTGTTCAGGAAGAAAACGCCATCGAAAAAAGTATTTTAAAAATCATATTTTGCGGAGCTCATGCTGGAGAAGAAAGCTGGGCCAGTGATAGATAGCCTAATGGCAAGAAATAAATAACTACGGCTGTGGCAAGATTCTTTTTTAACTTACATTAAATATCAAATTTTTATTTCCTTCATGCCATGATTGAAGATATAAGATCATAAGCCTTCGCAATCCCCCTTTATTGCCGTTCCTACACCTGTATCCTTTCTTAATTTTGGTCTTAGTGTATTTTTGGTTAAACATATGAAATTATTAACCTTTTGATTAAAAAAAATTAAAGTAATTTTAGCTTAGTCATGGTTATGTATCCGTGTTTAACTTAATCCTACTATTAAACTTATCGTAGTAATTTATTTCCTTTGTTATTAGCTTTGACAGCATCATAAAAAATAGTTCATTAAAAATTCTACAAAATAACGCACACAAATGCACAGACTTTCAAACTTTTATATGAGGTGAGACATCTAATACCATCATTTAAAAGTGAAAAATAATTATGTTTATAACTTCCATAAAAACGTATAAATACATTGTTATTAGTAGTAGTATAAGTAAATAAAAATAGACTAAAGTTGGTAATATATACTATACAACACTTAAGACAAATAGATTACTATACCATATAAATGTACAAAATACAATATAGCAACAATGTAAAAGCATTTTAATTTTAAAATAATGTTAGAATCTTGAATTTACAAAATATCCTGTAAATAATATTTTCTCCAAGCACTAAACATTCAATCACTTGAGACACGTGATGAGCAAAGACTCGTGCCCACACGAGAGACAGATCAAACATGTGCAAGTTCAAAATTCTGAGAAAACTGATGGGTCATAAGAAAGATGGAAAGAAGGGTACAAGCAAGAGGAAAGGGAAATTGGCACTCGAATAAAGGAAAGAGAGTGAAGATAGTTCCGAGTTCTCAAGTAGAGGAGGAGGAGGAAATGGTAAAAGTCAAGGAAAGACGGCTTTAATAAGAAAAAAGAAATACACTGTTACAACTGTGTCGGGCCATTTTGCTTTTGAGTGTTGGCATGCAAAAGGGAAATAGACCAAAAACAGTGAGCAAAAGACAAATGTGGCTCGAGATTCTGATTCTGATTAGGATCCAGTATTGTTGGTGGTGACTGATCTCCCTATTTTGGTATTTTAATACTGGTTGTTAAAACTATATGACTGAGTAAAGAGAGGTGCTGAATGAATTTGACGTTAGCAAAATAATTAAGATCAGAATTGCATACATTAGCACTCTGTTAGCAGAAGGAATGGAAAATACTGTGATCAAGAGAAAGGATGGGAAGGCAGCACATATACAAATGATAAACTGATTCTTTAGACCCACTTGCAAAGAATACGACTTCTTAAGTCAACATAAAAGCAGCTGAATTATGCTGTCTGAGTGTCTGAATTTGTAAAACTGAGAAATGAAATACGAATTGTTTCCTTTTGAGAACTTAGATTAAGGGAGAGTATTCTGGTTAACACAAGCGTGTGGTAATTAACAGCTTTGTTCTGTTCTGTTTCTGCAGTAACTACTTTCCATTACAGATATTTACACAGACCCTTGGTCAGACTGTACATTCAAATATTTTTCCTACTGCCTTAGTTTTGAGTTGAAGGTGTTCGATATTGGTCCACTTATGCCTCTTTCTTTAATTTCTCTAGTATATGTATACATGCGAGAACATAGCTAAGTGGAGAAAAGAAATAAGAGACAAAAAAAAATGTGAAAAAGAAAACTGTAAGAAGAAAAGTAGTGCAGAAAGAACATCTGTCTACAAGAATTCAGAAATATAAAGGTAAAGGAAGTTGCAAAGGGTTCCTGAGTGTGTAGGGAGAGTGTCTAGTTTTAGTCTAAAAATTGACGTATACTAGACGCATTCAGAAAACCTAACCATCAGTTCGCAAATTAATCGAATTCTCGTGCTCACCGTACCTAAGAAAGTGAATTCATCCAAAACAATTGCACAGATAAAAAGTTTCATTTGAGATTTAAACAAGAAATATAAGATAAAATGTTTAAAGAGTAGCGAATATGAGGCTTGAAGAAAACAGAGAAAGCATGAAAACGACGACGCAGTACCGAGTGAGTGGCTAGGCAGAGGGAGGCGGAGGAGCAGCAGCGGAAGCAGAAGAAGCGTCAGCAGGAATAACGAGAGTCCAATCCGGAGGAAGAGGAGGCATAGGATCGTACACAGTTGGCTTGCGGTTTATATCCCATGGCTGCGTCTTCCGTGGCCGAGTCTTCATGTGATGCGCAGTCGCTTTCTTCTGCGGCCGAGACGAACACACTATCGTCAATCCTCCGTCACTTCTCTTTCCAATTCCCAGTGCTTGTGGTGGCGCCATCACCACTCCACACCCAAACATGCTTGACAACGACGACATCCTTCTCTCTTCTCGCTTTTCTCTTTTCTCTTCTATTGTTTCTCAAACACTCATCTCTTACGGTTTATCCCTCTCAGATATTTTTCCAAAACTTCCCAATTTACCCTTCGAATTTTGGTTCGGAGGTACAAGGCCCAAAGGTTATTTGCTTTTTCCCTCTTCGATAGTTTCCTCCTCCATCCATTAAATTTTCCTTACACACATTATTCTGGAAAGTTTTGAAGAGTGTAAAAAGAAAATTGACAGGGTACAGAAAGAAACATCCTCCCTCTTCACGAACTTTACTGGCCTGGTCTTTTCTTTCTATACCTTTTGGGCTCCCCTTTTGCAGACACCTTTGCTGAAATTAATCCATGATTCGATAAAAGTACAGAAGCATGAACCATTTAATCTCTAAATTTATAATGATGAATTAAATTTGTTTTTTACACTGATAGACAAGAAAAATTATTTCCAAAATGTTAATTAATATTAATGTGGTCTCTCTGAAATTAATTTAATCATTTCTTATTAACTAGTGTAACACCTGTAACATCCCAAAAATACAGTAAAATCATATAATAGAATTAATTACACTAAATGATAAACCAATTCAGTTTATATTAAACAAGCGAACGCTCTTGACCGAACGGCCTTACATAGAGTTGCCAAAAGTGAACTGTACAAGATTCAAGGGAGAGGAGGCTGCTAGTTCTTGTTTCATTTCAGCAATAGTCATAAAAGATAAACTCAAAACATACGTGTACTTTTCGATGAAAACGACACATTCCGGAATAGACAATTTCTGAAACCACCACTTAACTAACTATGCAAGTACTTGGTCAAACAACTGCTTTAATTTACACAAGTCGTGTAAATTATGTTTATTTTCAAGAATTTATCTTCTATAAAATTGGAATCTCATTTGGAAGAAAATAAAAAAATCAGCATGCTCATGCTTCAGGAAAACTACTACCAGTAATGGTAGAGTTCTTCTATTATTATGACCACGTGCCATTGAATGAGTTGACGCATTCCGTATCTGAACTTACCCAAGTGGCTTCTATTTCTATTATGTTTGTCTCATTTAGAGCTTGTGGCATAGTAACTACTGTCGTCAAAGTTCAGGTGACCATTGACCGATCGCTCACAATCATAAACATTAACGTTGTCACTGTCACGGGCAAGACAAAATTTCCCTTTGGCCCCTAAAAGAGGGTACCTATGAAACCATCTTGCTCCTGAGCTGCTTCTCAATGCATAAGCTTAAGCTAATTTGGCAAGGAGTGACCCCGTTCTCTTTCCATAAATGCAGTGCTCTCGCGTTGTAACTATTATGAACTTCCATATCAAGTCCCAATCTGGCCTGGTTTGAGCATAATAAATAAGACAAGTCTAAAATGATTTTAAGACACTTTATAGAATGCACCATTAGAAGTTGTTCAAGTCCATAGACAAAATACGTGAGCTCAGGGTCAAGTGTGCTTGTCTGATTAGCAGAGGGTATTAATATGCCCCTCAGAGTATATTTGATTGGCAAGGATGTCCAATAGTACGTAAATATCCTCACTTTGAGGATGATTACTGTCTCCAACTAAAAATTCATGACTCTTACCATCCACCCTTATAATGCTAGACCCAGGAGCCTTGCTTATTCCTTTCTGCTTCATCAGTCTCCTAACATTTCTCACGTCAGCCCATTTCTTGTTAGAGGCATACAGATTAGAAAGAAGCACGTATATGCCACTATCTTGAAATTCAAAATTCTGCAGTGATTTCAAGATTTCTTGGGTGAATCCAACATTCCCATATGTATTACAGGCACTCAAAAGCGCTCCTATGATCTGCACATCAGGGGACATGGGCATTGTCTTTATCAACTCCACAGCTTCCTCCACCAGTCCAGCTCTGCAGAGTAAATCAACCATGCAGCCGTAGTGTTCTAACCAGGAAGAAAGGTTGTAGAGGGGACTTGACATCTCATTGAAATACTTTCGGCCTTCGCTGACCAAGCCAGAATGGCAGCAAGCTGTTAAAACAGCAAGAAATGTCACTTCATTAGGCTTTGCACCTGACACTATCAAATCTTTAAATAGCTTCAATGCTTCCCTCCCAAGTCCATTTATTGCTAGGCCACCTATATAGGCATTCCAAGTACGGATATTCCTAGAAGGCATTCCAC